AAGGACCTCCTACATCCTCGATTCAGGTACATGAAACTGCAGGCAAGCACAAAATATCATCCTTTTATTCAGCAGATAAACATATTTTCTACTCATTGTCAGAAATTATTTAGGCATTGCAGGTATCAATTTGTGTGGGGCTTTTGTGCAAGGTTTGTCCTCCAGGAAAAACAGGTTTTTTTCTCTCCCAGGCTGACCAACCACTTCATGTGTTGTGGACAGCAGTTATCCCCTCTGTCAAGCTTCCCCTTTGCCAGGCTGAACTCCTCTCACCTCTCCTGATGCCAACTCTCCATTCCCTGGTAAGCCTCAATACTCCTGTCTCCACTGAGACAAGCTCTCCTGAATACAGGTGACCAGAACCACATCTCAGAGCTGCTCACCCATCTCTGCATAGCACTGGCACTCTTTTTGTTTCATCAGAAATACCCTTCCAGTGCATGGATGCCTTGCCAGCACCATGAGGCTCTTTGGCAGAGCCTGTTCTGCTCCCTGACAGCCGCTATTGATTTCAAGAAGTGACTGAACTGATTCCAAAGAACAGCCCGCCCTCCATGGACGTCAAGGCCTATTAAATACCAAGATAACCACTTATGGCTTAGGAAGCTGCAGATCACTTCAGGGTACATTTGTGAAGTATCAAAATTCACTTTCCTGCTCTTCTGTTGGAATTTGCTCTTGATCAGGGTTGAGTCAAAATACGAGGTCATACAGACCTTAGTTTTGACTCAGCACAACCATTTTTATTTTCACTTGCTTTTTTCACCCTGCATTGGTGATCTGTGTATTATGGCTGACTGTATGTTCCGTCTTCTCTGTTACTGATTTCAGATTGATAACATCCCAGATTATAGTTTTTTTAGATATAGGTTTTGCTCCTCATCCCAGGAGGAACAACTTTGCATTTTGACTTTTTAAATTTCTCTTCTGCTGTTCCAGGCCTCAGCATTATCTGACCCTTCATTCTCTGTATTGACAACTCTTTCTAGATTTTTCTACAAACAAATTCTTCTTACCACTACAGACAGACATCATACCTGTCACCTGTGACTACTCGTACAATGGAAACCATCTAAGAAGGCAAACAGTGACACTGTTGGTACACATGAACACACAGTGCTTTTTCCTTCCTCCCCAAATTCTTCCCTGAGTTTTTACCTGCAAATAAGTTTGGTTATATGACTGACTGCTCTTTCTCAAACCATTTCTCATGGGAGTTGGCTCAGCCTGAAATACTGTCAAAAAGACTCTTGCTCTTCATATTAAAAAAAAAACCACACCATCACCAGCCTTCACACATCCCACACGTGAACCAGCACAAGAGAGAGTTATGCTTCCTTTCCAAAGCCCATAGAAAGCCTAAGACTTTGCACTGAGAGAAGCCAGCTCCCAGAGCTACAAGACAAAGGCTAAAAATAACCCATTAAAGGATTAATTTTGGGATTTTTAAATACAGCTAATTAATATGCATAGGAAAGGCACATGGTCTCCAGGAAGGAGCACACACGATCACAGAGTCTGCAAGGGAAGGGGGGGCGGGTGACATGCAGGCAGAATGCCAACGGAGAGATAAAAGAGGATATTCCCTATACATATCCCTTGGGCAGAGAACACGCAAGAGAACGTGTTTCACACAAGGTGGAAGCAGAGGGGTCAAGCATTTCACTGTTCAAGGAGCAGAGACGAGGCAGTGCAACCACAAAGGACAGCACACACCTTGCTACACCAAGTGAATTCCAGTGAGGTGGCTCAGGGCTGAGGACACCTCAGGGAGATCAGTGGATGCAAAAGCTGCTGCTTCGGAAGTGACGCTGCAGTCAGAAGCTGGGTACAGCGTGAACATGCCCAAGCAAAAAGCTATGGAGCAACAGCTGGAAGAAAAACTGGATCTCAAGGTGGATAGCATGGCAGTACAGCAGGGGCCACGTGTTGCACTCAATTATGGCACTTTGGAGGCAATTTCCTCTTATGATCATTACATCCTGAGCTTGAAGCACCCTGGGAAGCTTGGGCATTGGATATAAAGCAGGACACAAGGGCTGGCAGTCATGGTACATCACGAAAACAAGGTACCATGTATGAGCAACATGAGTGACGTCAGACAGAAAGGATTACCTACAGTTAATGTGAATCAGAAAGCAAATCTGGTTATTCACAGGCTGCACTACAAAAAATAGAGCTATAGCAGCAGTTCCAGGGAATTTCAAGGTGCAGGAGGAAAACAAGCTGAAGCCATTTTGCCATACCAGTTTCCCTGTGAATAACACTTAAACATTGGAAACTTTTTCCATTTCAGCAGAGGAATGGTTGGACAGATTTTATTGCCCAACTCACTGGCTACTTAAGACTCAAGAAAAGCTAGGGCTTTAACCTGGTGGCTTAATTATTTAGTACCACTGCTTGTCTGCCTGTCCCTTTACCCTCATCTAAAAGGATCTTTGAACCTTTTAGCTTTCACTAACTTTAACTTTCACTCAGTTTGATAAATGGGGGAGAAATCTCAAACTTTTGTGAGTTTTGGTGGTTTTCACAATGGCACCCAGGAACAGCCTCAAAGTGTTGTGCATGAAGCTGCATCTTGAGAGCCATCTGAGCACAACCTGAGGGACCTGTTAGAAGCGAGGATGGGGTACAGGGGTTTAATTTTGCAACAGGGGGTCTCGATACATGTTTAAGTTGACAAAGTCCTAAGTAGAGCTGCAGGGGAAAGAAAAGTTGCAGCACCACCAAGGCATTGGAATAGGATCAGCTTCACAGTCCAGTGCTACAGGATGCTGCCTTTGGAGGCAAAGGACAAAAACCACACTCTTTTCACTTAAAGACATTCTTTATTCAATCTTTTTTATATACAATATTATTTTTTATCTGTAAAAAGTACATATGCAGGATTCCAGGTCAGAGGCAGAAGATTTCCACATCAGAAGATAGACTTTTGCCCTTTTATTATTTTGGAGGAAAAAAATAATCTGTCAGTTTTAGACAAAGCAAGAATAAAGGCAGAATGCAAATCCAACTTCCACCAAGCGATTAGGATTAAAGGCAACAATTCACCGTAACAGGTCAGGCTGTCTCCTCCGACTTTGGTGGTTCCCAACTTTCCTGGGCAATTACAGAGCAGTTTGTTAGAAGGCGCTGACAGCTGAAGCAGCTCGTGCTTATCATCTCTGCTACAGTTGTATGCACACAACTTGCAAAAGAGCCTGGCTTTTCTCTTTGTATGGCAACTCAAATCCTTGAGTCAGAAGACTTTTCTCAATAGTCAAGGAGTGAGAGGGATGTCTTAATCAGGGTGAACCGATCTCCCAACTACAGTATGGATCGAGAGCTTGCTTTCATTTTTCTCTGGTATCAAGAAGCCTGTTTCTTATTTGTCCCCTTATAAACATGGGTTTGGCTTAGTAGCATGAATACCAAGAGGGCTTTGCTTAGGGGGCGCACCTATAACCTTAAAGGATGGCATTACAGGGAGTGTGTAATTATTATCACCTTTCAGAACCCAGGAAACATTCAAATCTTGTAAAATGCTGTGGGGAAATATGTCAGTGTTTGGGAGCTAGAACATGGCGATTCACAAATTTGCAGCAGGGAGCTGAAGGAACAGCTAAAGTGTGACTGGCACACAAACTACTTGCTCCTCCTTCTACTCCATGGCACTTGCTATATTATATACTTTCCTTGAACATTCAGTTGGAAGGACTATATTGTGCAGCAAAATTAAGACTCAGAATATCATTCAAGGGTTTTGTTTTTATTTAGAGGACAAAGCTAAGAAGTTGACTTCTTGACTGCAGGACACGCACAGCTCCAGGGTTGTTAATGGAAGCTGCAGAAATCTGGCCTCTTTGAAAAGTCAAGCTCTAATTGTCAGGAAAAAAAAATTTACTGCTGGCAGATCTTGACCAACAGGCAGATTTGAGGCTTGCATTAGGAAAAGAACCATACATCCTTGTTTTGACTGCATGCAAACAGGAAATAGACAATTCTGGGATTTCCAGGCTCTTGCCCAAATCCAGTGTGTCAAAAATGCACATGATTTTCTGTTTTTTATTTCATTCTGTAAGGGGGGAGGGTATTGCAGAATTTGTAAAATGGGACAGCTACCTAGAGAAAATGAGGATTGTTTTGTTAGAGAGTACAGTGCAAGACTCAGAAACAGCTAGGACTAAAAAGTCATTTTTGTGCTTAAATTTACACTTGTATCTTCAAGAAAGTACGACAGCAGCAACAGAATGAAAATGGCAACATTCTACTGTACCTTACGTACCCAGAGGGAAAACAGTCTGAACTTTGGGTTGCACATAATGCCATTTTGCAGATCAGAACCTACTTTCCTGTGAAGGACTCAGAATGAGGGCACATCACTTCAGTCAGAAATTTCAGTATCTCTGGTGCTTGGTAATTAAGCACCTACCTTGTCCAGAACCCATTACCTCCAAACTCTGCTTGATCTAGGAAATATCAGGATGAAATTAATGAAAGACAGAGCAATTAGTCCTTAAGATGCATTATTTTTGTTAGACTCTGCACATCATTAGCTTCTGGAGGAAAAGGACAGGTGGTATTTTAGAGTTATAGAGTATAAACTGACTGTTGTTGGGGTGGCTGGAAAATGAGATACAAGTGTCCTTTATTTGGTACCTGCCGCTTATCTACACAAGGAAGAAATAGCAGTACTGTACATCTGCTTTGAGAACACCACCATCCCATAACATGAAATGGCTTAATCCTCAATTCAGGCATTCTTGTGGCAGTAAGTTAACCCACTGGGATTCACAGACAAGTTAAATTTGAAGGGTTCCTCTTTAATTGACAAGAGGGGGATAGAGGAGGAGAAGCAATAATAAGAAGTTTGCTGTTTCTGGGACTCCAGAATTCTGTCCTTGATCTTTTTGTGAACAGACTGGCAGCCATTCTACACCTCTGTTTATCAGGAAGAGTACAGGGATGGGTCTATGGGGCAAAAAGTGCTTTTATTATTTTTTCTTTTCTTCTTTTCTACCTTTTTTTTTTTTTTTTTTAACAAGGGGGTCTGCTTTTCCTCTGTCTCCTATATACCCAGAGACATGTCGGAGAACAAGGCAGTCAACTGCACTTTTAAACTAATAACAGTTCTCATAGGATCAGAAAAACAATTTGAAAACACAGCATATCTGAACTTGGGAAAATGAAAAATTACTAGTTCTTCAGTAAGTCACTGAATAATAATTAGAAAAATAAATTAACGTGGGGCCAGAAAGAAGAATCCATTTATTAAGCTACTTCTAATTTTAAATAAACAATAACTGAAATCAGTATTATTTACTATATCAATTACTTTATATGTTCTCAAATTATTTTTAGCATATTGCTGAAAATTACTGTAACAAAGTAACTGCTATTAAGGTACAAACATTGAAACTGAAATTTCCCAAGCTCCATGTTTTTTTCCTCTTAAACTCAAGTAACTGTCTGGAAAAAAAGCATCTGATAGCATTTTTACTTAGATCATATGATGATTTCTATGTCTAAGTGACACAGAAAAATGAAGAATAATTTTGTGTGGAAACTCTACCGTCAGGCGTATAATAGTATGACAGGGACAAAAGTCTTTTTTATATAAAACTTCATATAAAAACATTTATGAGGAGGGAAAATAGTATTCACTTCCTTTAAATCTGATGCTGTACCACTGTAGCTCACTGAAGAGTTCTTCCACTTCAGTACAAAAACATCATCAAGATTTTTTAAAGACTCAACCTGTGCATTAATTAGGAGGGAAACCAGTACCTAAAGGACCTAAAGGCTGTTTTTCACCAAAGGTGCCAGTCACCATGGCAAAAAGATTTGAGAGCTATATGGGGGGATAAAAAAGAATAATTTGAGCTGTAAGGGTTCTAAACAATAGTAAAAAGAGATTGAAAAAGACAAAACTGAAAGGATGAAAAATCTGGAAAGAAAAAACTTTTTAGCAAATAAATGAAGACTGAAAAAGACACCATTTAAATGATACTATCCAGTCCAACCATGAAGTACTTGAAAAAATCCCATGCAGATAGCAGCATCATAAATTAGTGAAAGAAGAGACTCTTCAGTTTCTTTTTCCAGTCACATGTGAGAGACGTTAGTTTGTTTCCAAAGCTCATGTTGGATTTGTACTGGAGCACCCAGAAAAGCAAGTTTTGTTACATAAATCAAAGGCAGTTTTAAGCTTCTGTCAGACACATATATACCTGCAAAGAAGGTTCTCTGACTATAATCCAAAGAATGAAATGTAACAGATTGTGTACAAAAATACAGAGCATCAAACTCTCACTGCTTAGCTCAAGGGGAGCTTTTTTTAGTTCCATATACTGTAGCCTCCTATATAAATCACAAAACAGTTGTGCTCACATTGTCATCTCTGTTTATTTAGCTAAGGGAACCAGTACTAAGAAGAGAATGTTTTTTTTTCATGTGACGTAATTTGTGAGGAAGGGAAACTTAGACTCCTTCCTACTCCTGTGATATGCTCCAGACTCTGAGCTTGCCAAATGAGCTAAGCCCACTCTGCTGACAGTGAACTACAATCCAAATGCTTACTAATTGTTTTTTTCTTTTTGGATATAAGCATTATTTTTAAAAGGGAAAATGAGGAGGCAATAATTTTTGTACTTTAGAGTTTAGATGTAACAGATTAGAGGCTCTGAGAATGGCTGCCAGTCTGGACAAGCTCCTTAGAAAATTCAGACAGGTACAGAAAGAAATTCAAATCCTGATGCTGCTGGTGCAGTGGTGGTGCTTTTTGTTGTTGCTTTGTTCATGCCATCATTAAAAAGAAAAAAAAAAAAAAAAAAAAAAAGAAAGAAAAATAAAAGAAAACCTAGGTATTTGGAACCCACCCAATCTGAAGAGGTGACTGTGTGTTGTTCCTTGCAACAGCAAGTAAGTTCCTCACCCTAGATGGGAAAGCCTCTTCTTCCTCATGCTGCTGCATTAATATTATCTGTAGATTCCATGTCTTGCCAGGGTTCAAAGCGCATGAAGTCTCTGTCCTGCAAAAATCACACTGTGTGTTTTGGTCATGTATAAAACAGAACTTTTAACTTATTTATATGTTGAAGAGCTTCGTTTCCCATGCCAATACTTGCTTGACTCCGGGGTCTAGGTTTACCAAGTGTCTGTCTGTCTCCCCTCCTGCTAAAGTCTCAAGTGGTCCATGTAAACAAAACAGAGCTGAGAACAGTCTCTCTTCCTCTTAATAGAGCTGTTTTTATCGATATGCAGGATTTCCTGACAGTGTGGTGTTGGCTAAATGTAAAACAGGCAGAGGATGAGCTTCTGTGTTAAAAACCCAGTTGTCTAATGGTAGCAGATCATCGTTGGAGAAAAGCAGATACAAATACCTGGATACCAAGACAGAGATGAAAAACATGGGGATTAAAGCAGAGCACAGGCAGGCAGGGGCAACAGAGCAGCTGCAGGCCCCACAGTTCAGCAGCTACAGCTATAAACAAATTACTTACTTCTAATTTTTGTACAGCACACACACAACCTTCCCTATTATGATGAAGTCATTTTTATTATGATCAAACCCTTCAATGAAAAGTTGTTACAAAGACAGCATTTTAGTCTTTCCGATAAACTTTTGTTTTTTGAGTCTTCCTTCAAAGACTTGCAGTGTAAAACAAACATCAAGACACCAACCACAAGTATTTGAGGGACAGGAAAGCAGAGAAGTTGCCAAAAAGCTTTTCTTAATGGAGTAAATCCACTTGGAAATAACTAATCCTCTTTAATCCAACCAAAGATTTCATGGCAGCACAAGGGAAATTACTAAACCATGGCAGGTATCTGATTTGTCATCACCATTATGGAAGCTGGTTCAGCTTCTGGTGAGAGGAAATGGGACAACAGATTGTGCAGAGGGTTTTCACAGATGTTGCACATTATAATACAATGCACAGGACATGAAGCATGTAACAAAATAAGGGTTACTGGACATACACAAAAAAAAGGTATTTGTTGCTCCTTCTTTCTCAGTGCGCACTTTTGAATGTGGCTGTGCTACAGCTCTGTAGGACACAGTGGTAATAGGAATCTGTCCAGGTTTCCTAACACAACTGCTGAAACTCTAAATAGACATTTCCCTTGTTACAGAAAACCTGGCTGTGTGAGTGCAAGCACAACAGCGTGGGGGTACAGGATCTCTCAGCTCCCACTCGCTTTCCTGCCATCCAGAAAAAGACATTTGACAAGGAAAGCGTGTCATTCCCATTAGTGGACTCTGCCATGTCCAGAATGTGCACACTTGTTCTGCTGTTCCTTTGCTCTCTCTCTATCTGGGAGTGTGTCTGCTGCTTTCAGCTGTGTGTCACTGCCTGATCAATCCTTCTGCTGCCTTTATTTGCTAGCTCTATCCACAATCCAGTCAGTGAAGCCCTATTTTTTCTTTCCTTCCTCATCTATTTACTGTTTACAGCTAAGAATTTCTTGCAGAGATGATTCAGTTTTGTCACACGTATCTCATCTCCTTCTCCGCACTCTTCATCTGTCTTTAAAGCATCATGCCCTTCCTTTCCTCAATACTTCTGCCTCACTCTCTCCTGCTGCAGCTCTCCATGTTCTTTCTCACCACAGCAGCAATATTTCATCTTACTCAAACTCACCTTTCTCATTTGATTCACACTTTTCCTTTGAATAACTTAGCAACCTATTTCTCCGTCTTGGTCCTTCCCACTCAACAGGTACCTTCATGCCAGGTACTGCTCAAAACTCTCAAATTTGCTGTGTATCTCTGATAAACTGAAGTATCCAAGAGCAACAAAGCGTATTTGGGATAGTTACCAAATTTGAATTTGAGAGGAATGAATATGCAGAAGTAATCATCAATAGCAGAAAAGATTACAGCAGACATTGCTTAAGACATATTTTATGCCCTCTTCTGAGGAACATCTTAATTTTCCTCATGACTTCACACCTAACCCTTCTGTCTTTATTTTCACTTGGGCTATCTTGCTTGACCTTATGTTCCCTGCTTTATCTCAGTGTGAAACCAGTTTCTGGTCTGGGCTATGCCAATTGCATCAATGTCAAAAACATCTAATATCCAGCTCTTCAATAAACCTTTGTTTTGTTAAACAAGCAGGAAATGCTGCTAACCAAACGTCAGTAAAAATTTCCGAGTTCTTTCCTAGAACTGCCACTGTCTGCAATGCTTGCACTGTAGTATATCCAGTTACTGAATGATGCATCGGTGAATTTTCAGATCTCCCTGTGATTATTTAAGATGCAGACAGGATTCTGGTTATAAATCGAAAGTCAGCCTTGCCACCACAGAAGTCCCTTAGGAGCAAATTTCATTCTCTCATTTGGCTTTTTTAGGCAGATCAATCATATACCATCAGCTCCTGGAGAGGTACTGTTTCTCTGACCTGACCTGTTTGAAACTGCTGCCTCTCTCTTTGGGACCACTGCTTTTAGTCTCCAGAAAATGAACTTGAAGGATTAAGTGAAATAAAATTAAAGAAGACAACAGAGGAGGTAGCAGTGGCTGACTTTCTTTTTAAAATGGTAACACGAGGCAACAAAGTACTGTGATTACATAGAGGAATTTGGTAAGGAGCCAGCAGGATAGAATAGCCACACTATCCCCTTACACATGGACTTGGAGCCCCTTTTTCCTGGTGAGACATGCTGTGCTGCCTGAATTAGGCACAAGAACTGCCATTTTCAGGACCTGCTTTCTCCCTGTTCCATTTTGTGTTCCTAATACTCAAAATCAGTCTTTGTCTCCATTAGCTACCTGTGGAGCCACTACATTCTTCTAGAATTTAGATGTGAGCTTTTACAGAAAGTTGCAGGAGTGAAAAAGACTTACTTCAAAGTTTCAGCAAGGAAAAAGCTCTGCTGTACATCATCGTATGTAGGAGATGAGGAATAGACATCCTTGACACCAGAAAAGCCACCACTAACTCGGCAATACTTTTCAATTGCCTGCAAAAAGGAAGGGAAAAGACACAGAATTTAACTGTAGAACAAAATTTGGAAACTACAAAGCATCAAGCTTGGTCAACAAAGAAGGTGGTTCTTTTTGTGCTGCATTTTTCTGCTGTGAATCTCGTTGTTGAAGGATGCTACGGACATTAACAGTTTATGCTGAAAAAAAAAGAGACTGGACACATACAGAAGTAGCATCCTTCCAGGGTTATTAATGACACCACATTTGGCAAACTGCTACGTGCTAAGAAAGTATTCTGGGGAAAAACACTTTCTTTCCTGGGTATTTACTGTTGGCTGATATTGATGACATGACAAGGACTCTGTAGACTTTTTCTCTGAGCTCATGCAGTTCCTCATCAGTGACACTGAGTAGAACATCCATCAGTCAAATCAGTGCAATAAGTACTGTGATGTGCACAGGAAGGTAACAAACAACTCTGGATTTTGGAGCTGGAAGAGTCTGAAGAGCTACAGGAATTCTTTGAATGGTAGCTAGTCACAGAGACTTACTGAAAGTAGAAATAAAACACTCATCTTTATGGACTGTTGGTTTCATCCTGTAAACTCTTCTAGCTGCTGCTTTCTTCCCTCATCTCCTTCTCCTACATATGCTATTCTCTGTTTCCCCTTTACAGAGCTGAAACTCAAGTTAGCTTGCGTGCTGGACTGCAGCAAAGCTCTTTACCTTTAAAGTATGGAGTTTAAATCCATACACATTCTACGAAGGAAGGGGCCAATGGATTCTCCCCACCTCCCCCAGCTCCAACACAGTACTGTAAAAAGCACAATGGAAGAGGAGGGAACTGGAAAGAAAGTGTTAGTAGCTCGGAGCACCTCTCGCCTACACTTTCATTATTCCACTCGCACACACGACCCTACAGCACACAAGGATATCAGCCATTAAAACTGGCTCCGAAGAAACAACTCTGAAATGATTCACAGGTTATTTGTGCTTCCCTGCTGCTTTGACTGTGCTTCCTCAGCAGACACCAACTCTTTTAATAGATTCATGCAGGGACAGAAAAGAAGCAGGGGTGAAGGAAAATGTTTGTCTCGGGATGTCTGTCATTACCAATGACTGAACGTAGCTACCTGTAGCTCAGTAATCTATGATTCAGCCCGATAGCCTTGTCTGAAGCTCCTCTCCACATGGTGCTTTAGACCCAGATTTTTGTTAATTTTGATTTTTGCTAGTTATACTCAGCAGAAGCTGAGGGGAGTCAAGGCAGGGGAGCAAATAAGTTTTGAATTATGCCCTTTTTATGCAAAGAAAACAGATTCAATCAAAACTCTTCAAGGACCTCAATATCGCCTTTGCATACTAGAAATACTGGGAGACAAAGAGGAATTTTCCACTGGACAAATGGACTAAGAATGTCAACAGATGCTGTCACTGAAATCAGGAGAAAAAGCACAAAGTTGATCAGGATACCCAGGACAGTAAGTCACAGCACAGCAGGTACTACAGCTGACCTCCTCCTAGAATACAGTCTTACCCTGTGGAAATCTGAGCTGTTCGTGGACCAAAGAATAATCCAGACTGTACAAAGTTCTTTCAAATTTCTGAAAAGCTGGGTTTTTAGAAAAGCAAGTGGAGAGACTGACAAAAGGATGTTACTGGAATGGCTGTGGCTCTAGAGCCTGAACTTATGCCAAGAAAAGTACAGTCCTTCTTGGCAAAATCTAATTTTGCTTGCTGTAATTCCTTATCTCAAGCACAGCTTTCTCTAAGTTTGGATGGCAACACTCCATTTTTTATTGGGACTCGAGTTGAAAAGGAGAAAGTATTTGGATGAATTATTTTCAGATTTGATTACCACTGCAGGCTAGGCTGTACTGAGACTACTCTCATGCTAACATCTGGGTTGACCAGATTTTCTACAGTGAAGAGAAAGGTGTATGTCACACATCTAACCCAACGGCACCAAATGCATGATAATCTCTTTCTCTGCACATATTGCACAACAAAAGTGATGCTACCTGCTACGCGGCAGCCAAACAACCGTATCAACAAAACAAACAACCCCAACACCACTCTCTCCACACAAAATCAAACCTAGCCATTCAACCAACCAACAAAAAGGAAAGAAAAAAAATAATTGCTTAGCTTCTGAAGAAATAATGCACATGCTGTTTACATTTGCATATTCCTCCCCAGAACTCCTACAGCCACCAGGTAAGTGTTATATGAATAAACAAGAGCCAAAGCACTTTTGCTTTATAGGTAGAAAATGAAGTGCCTGCTCTTGCCACTATCCGCTTTTATAATAATACAGAACATGACTTTGTGTCTCCTCTGAAGCATGAAGATGGAGGAGGAAGCCCCAGTGGTTACAACTCCTGCCAGAATTCCCAGCATACAATCTGATCAGGACAGAGTTTCTCTGGTCAACCAGTCAGCTGATGCTATGTGCCACAGCCTGTACAGGAGAAACCTGCTAGTGACCGTGGCAAAATGAAAACAAGGAATAAATGGTACCACTGTTAGGACACCATCTCCTTCCTCCAGAAGAATTAAATCCCCAAGTCAGTGTAAGAGACAAAACTTGCTTATTTTGGAAATTTGCTAATGGATAGCACTGAGAGTCTGCTCTATGCTGTAGAGATCTCATACTTGGTAACTACATGCAACTCTGGTGAAGCCAGCAGGCCTACAAGCCGGGAGAAAGAGAATATATGATCTATAAAAACTTTTTTTTTTTCCTTACGGTTACCAAGTAACCTTATGTCCTCAGGAATTTCTCCTTGGGAAGGCAGACTCTTGTTCAGAATAGGCAAAGGATTTACCCTAGCTGATCATAGTTCTACATAATACAGGTAGTAATGAACTACACAGGAAAAAAGCCCCTGAAAGATTGCTTTACAGCTATTCATCCAAATAGAAAATTTTAAAACATGAACAAATAATTTGTCCTTGATTCAGAGCTGTACAGAACTTCAGGACACTGGGTGAAAAGCTTGGTGCCACAGACAAGCTGCTTAAGTGCCACTTGAAATTTTTAGAGTTCTGTCTTCACACAGATCTCAGAGTACTTGGTGTAGTGACATCTGATTTGCCACCCAGATTCACTCCAGAGTTGAAGACCAGTCTCTCTGACAAAACAATGCTAAATTTACTGCACCCTAGAATATAGGGAAGCTCCAAGATGACTGGAAAGGTATTAAGGTAATACTGCTACCATTACGAGGCATTGGCAGACTGAATAATTTTAGGATGGCACATCTAATCTTGGTTCCAATCAATTACAGAAAGACATGAATATATGTATGCGTACATGTGTATGTGTATGTATATGTATATAAGAATTGGAGGATAACTGACACCAATCAGCATGGCTTTATAGAAAACTATCTTGGTCACAAGCTTGATTTCATTCTTTGAAAGCTACAAATTTGACAAATAAAGGTAACTGTAGAGCTGTAATAAACTTAAAAGCTTCTAAGGCAATTGGCGTGGTATTTAAGATGTTATGGGAAGACAAGGCAGCACTATACCATATCAATATAATTCAATTTAAAACTGACTGACAGTGCTCTAAGAAAGAACTGGCAATGCAAAATCATCACAAAATAGAGCTGCTTCTCACAGAGATCCACAAGGAGCAGTCTGAAGTTTTATCAATCATTCCAATACTGCTGCTGGCTAAAATGACAAACATAAATAACAGCAGACAGTGTAATCTACTGGTATCTGGGTGCCAAACAAAATGAGTTTCATAAAACCACACGCATAATCCCAAATCTAGTCATCAAGACTGTGTAACTGCAGACCCAGGCTAGCCTGGAAGGTAGAGACAAACTTTGGAATGCAGAGACAATTCAAAAATTTCCATAGCTTTGTAAGACAACTCATTCTAAGTTCCTGCTAGGACATTGTGGCGGATACACACAGGGACAGCAAAGGGAGACAGCAGCTGGGACACAGTGTTATTTTTGCACAGGCTAATTTTTTTTTTGGCTGAACTCAAAACCGGAGTATGCAATTCTAAAATTATGTTTTTCAGAAGGATGATGAACTAATGTAGGTGCAGGCATTTGGAGAAAATGTTTTACAGTGAGACACAATGCAATTTGTTTAGCATCTTCAGTAGAGTCAACACTAAGCTTACTATAATTTATGAAAATTCTTTGGAAAGAAAACACAGGGAAAGGACATTTTAAAATGGCATAAGAAGTCATAGGAAAACCCAGTGGTTGAGAGCTGAAACTAGGCAAATTCAAGTGGGAAATAAAACATGTTTTTTTTAACAGCAAGAATAAATAAATAATGGAACAAACTACCAGAAGTAGTAGGCTTTCTAGTTTCCTCTATTCAAATACAGAATAGAAGAGGAGAATATTCAACAGTATACTCCCGCCAAATACACGTGTCTCAACTCAAAAGTGACACAAAGTGAAATTTCAGTGCCAGGGAGGTCAACACGAACCTAAGTTCTTTGGAAATAAAATATGATGTGCCTCTAGATTGGATCCCAGCTCCCTCAGTTTCTCTGAGGGTGTTTCTTGTGGCATATGTGACTTTTCTTGACTGTGCCAAGAACATGCCCATAAAAACTGTGCCAGTTTCTTCACCAGCTGTCATACTCACAGCTTCTAACCCATGAAACTGTGAAACCATATTTCTTTTACCTCCAACCTATGTCTGGCTCTTTTCTGTCTACTAATCTTCACTAAACAGAATCACAGAATGGTTTGGGTTGGAAAGGACCTCAAAGATCATCTAGTTCCAACCTCAATGCCAAGGGTAGGGATGCCACCCACTAGAACAGGATGCTCAGGGCTCCATCCAACCTGACCTTGAACATGTACATCCACAGCTTCTCTGGGCAACCATTTCCAGTGCCTCACTCATCATCACTGTGCCTATATAAGCCACCATCTTGCTTTCTTTAATAAGCCCCCTTTATGTACTGGAATGCTGCAATGAGGTCTCCCTGGAGCCTGCCCTTCCCCAGGCTGAACAAACCCAGCTCTCTCAGCCTGTCTTTGCAGGAGAGGTGCTCCCACCCTTGGATCATATTTGTGCCCCTTCCTGGAGCCTGCTCTAACAGGTCCATGTCTTTCTTGTGCTGAGGACCCCAGATTTGGGTGCAGCTGAGGTCTCATGAGGGCAGAGAGCTATAGGTCTTTCCACCCCACCTTACTATCAATCTTCAATTTGCCTGAAGTTAGCCTGAGCTTCAGGTCTTGTCTATTTATTTTCATTGTTAGTAGAAGCTCTGACGAGCTCCACAGCCTCTGTGGTGCAATCCTACTTAGTGAGATACACAAGTCCACAACTCTTAATTGAACCCTTAATTCACACAGCTCAGATTAGTAATTGACTTTATATGCCTATTGTGAAGTGGTGGCTCTTATTACTTTCAAATAATTAGCCTGAGAAGGATTTTAGTAATTTTCTGTATTTACCCTGAGTATCTTGCATGCATATTTCTGTAATACTTCAGCCAGCCCCCCAGCACACCATCATCCAATTTGGCTGGCCCAATACAATTGAGATGAATGTCGTCTCTAGTGCTAAGTACAGTATTAGGGAGAATTAGCCTTTTTTTCATCAGGAAAGAGACAGAGACCCTGTGACAGGGATTTATGATCACTGAGGGAATGTAAGCTTGAACTTCCTGTTTTTTCCCCACAGACACTGGATTTGGAGAAATGTAACAAAACAGGCCTTGGACAAAGCATAGGATTTGCACTAAAGTACATCAGTTTTGTCAAAAATTATAGATAATAAATCCAAGTATGTTTCAGAGATCAGAAGGCAAAAGGAAGACAAATTCAGATAGTGTTGTACAATAGCAGTAAGCCAACTGCTCTGCGTGTCACGCCAGATTCTTCTCTATTTATAAATGATGGAATAAACACAGCCAGAGCTGTGTGTGAGAGGGAAGAAGAAAAAGTAGTGAGTAGGTGTGAGGAATAAACACAAGAACTTATTATCTACATGCAATGAAAATCCTGGGGAACAAAAAGCTTGAAGCTTCTGTGTCAGTATGACAGTGGGCTAAGAAAATTCCTAATTGTGGGAAGAAGGGGTTTGCAAAACCATTTATGAAGAAGTCAAGAATATTTTATGGCTATGTTCAATAAAGAAATCTACTATCAAGGAAACAAGCAGAAGAAGGCAGTCTGCAAGGACAGAGGCAATTAAGCACATGGGCTGCTTGATTTACAACTTCAATGGAGGTTGACAGAAGGATAAAACAAAATCCTACCCCACATACAGAGAAAATTGGAGGCAGGGGAGGAGGAAGGGAGGGTTTGTTTTGAAAGCATTAACAGGGACCAAGACAATGCAAGCAAATGAAGAAAGCCGAACAAAATGCAATTAAAAGACGTGCTTTGCAGTGTGCTTAAGAGACTGATCCTGGCCTGAAAATCTTTACATTTGTAAATTCTTTAACCTATTACAAAGGACCCCACCTCAGCTTGGATCATCCAGCCATTGCTTTTGAAAGGAGCTGGTGTTAGACCAGCAATAATTTGAAAGATCTACACAGGCAAGGAGTAGGTTATTAACTTGGTCATATTAGAAATATGCATAGCTTAGGCAGCAGGGATGATGAGACTCAATGTTTGATGCTTTGGAGACAGTAGCAATGCATTCTGGAAAACAAATGCTACAAATGTGGAACTCATCTCCAGAGTAACATAATTCAGGTTGGAACAAAACAAACTAAAGAGCAAAACCACACTAAGATACAACTGTAAAATACCTGGCCCCTTCTAGGTGTTGCAACTGTGCTGAGGGATGGATAGTAATGAGCTTGGCTAAATATTCTGAATACAGGCATCTCAACAGATCTCTTCCCACCCTTTTTCTTGATTCCTTGCTTCTGGAGCAAAACTGAGTTTCAGCCACTGAATAAACTTACCCAGTCTCCTGGTTTGTCTCCTCCTTTGCTTTTCCCTCATCTCCTTTGGCTGTAGTCAAAATATTTCATTACTGTCTTATTATCTTTAATGTTTATTCTCATTTCTGAAACTGGCTTTGAGCTGTTTCCAAAGACTGATGGTGCAATAGCAGGGAAGTAGAGAAACTCTCAGGGGCTGTGCAGTACTGACAACAGTAGGAGTCATGACTAGGGGTGTCTATTTCCACACCTAAAATTCATGAACTGTATGATGCTGAATACACCTCTTACCTGACTCAGCAGATGCAAAATAGCAATAACTGTGTGCACCCTCATAAGTACCCCAGTTTACAGGTGCCTGTGAAAATCAATTATGACTCCAAGTGTTTTGGTACCATGAGACTGAAGTGGCTTCAAAGGGGAGATACACTAAATTAAATTACTGACAGATGATGAATAGTTACCTGTGTTGCCTCCCAGCCCCACTGCCTGTACTTGGGATCGTGGGTGATTCTCCACATATACCAGTAGGTCTCAATCACCTCTGGCCTTAGGATGTAATACTTCTCATTCTGCCGTACAGCCACCGCCTCCACGCCACCATCAAATTTGAATGCTTCTGGGCCCAGCTTTAATGCTGCAGAGAAAACACAACCAAAAACAAAGTAAAAATAAGAAAAACTTCCATACCAATCTTTGCAGGAAGGATGGGTAGGAGACTATATGCCAAGCTTGTGAAAAAAACCAGAACCTAGCTAGTCCTTAAGCAGTCTCATAAATATTTCCTACTGTTGAGGTCTATAATTTTTCTTATGAATAATTTATCAAATTCCTGTGAGAAAACTACCTATTTTGACAGGACTATAGTAATCCTCTTGAAAACTAATGAAACACTAAGAATATAAACACACTAACACATTCAATTATAGGATAAAATTGAAGTGACTGACATCAGTTCTTTATAAGAAAAAGAAAAAAGAAAAAAAAGGGTCAACACAGGTTTCAATGTCCTTTGATCCCACCCAGCACAGAAGGAAAAGATCTTGGAACTAAACCAAATAGCATCATGCCAAATAATCTGTATCTGTATCCAAACTGTTGGTTTAAGGGTGTGCTGTCAGGCCACTGTAACTGATGTGCTGTGATCTTCAAGTACAGGGTTTACAACTGGACAATGAAGCCTTAAGTACACCTGAAAATAAATCTCTGAACTAAAAGACTCACTGTTAAAGCCCTTAAAGGAACCTGTAAAGGCCAGCACCTAGCAGACTATTTGTATAAGAACAACACGCCTGTAGAAAAACTGTCTATAATATGAAGTTGCAATTACACATATTTTGTATTAGACAGCTGCACGCTGTTCCTCAAATTTAACATTAATAATGTACTCTTATCTACAGCTGCACCCCACCATTTGTTTTGACAGAGAATTTTTAAGGCGCTGAACTCTGAAGCTGCACTTGAGCTTTAAAAATTATCAAAGCAATTAATCATGTAATTCCTATGGGCCAGAGGTTCAAATTAAACATGGTTTCAGAGATCTAAAAGGGGAACCTTAAAATACTATAATGAAAAATACAAGCAACTCTCAGTGCATGCCCCAGCAGAAAATCTCCAAAAGAAGTTCCCTCATCTTTTTGTTTCAAGGGACTATGGCTCTGGATGCCAAAAGAAAAAGAATCACTCTGCTTCAGTCACATGAATAGTAAGGGAAATTCCATCAAGAAATGTTTACTGCACTTCTTTCAAAATGGGTCACTTTGTTGGTTTCACTTACAAAATTAAATAAATTTCACTATAAAATGGAGGAGATTAGAAACAGAGTTCTACCTATCCAAAATTCTGAATATAAGAATAGTCATAACACGACCAGATTCTGTCTTCTCCAGTATCACATCTCCAACAATAGCCAAAATGAGACATTGACAGAGAAGTACCCATCAAATATATGAGATACCTTTTTCCATCTTTTCTATCAGCCTCTACTGTTTTTGAGGTCAAGACTTCTCCCAAACTAGACGTATTTTTTAGGTGGTCAGTAATTCTTAATAGATTAATTTCCCAAGTACTTATCAGGTGTGTCTTTAAATCTGTGTAAGCCTTGAGCATCCAAAACAATCTCTGCTAAGGAGTTCCACATCTCTAATACCTATTTGATGCAGAACCACTCTCCAATCCCTATGTGATTTTGCAAATCTGCTGAATCCTACCTAGAAGGTCCCTTTTCCACCCTGAATAACACTATCGAATTCAGTTGTGCCTTGAATGGAAACTGTTCCATGCCTTTAGTTAAACTTCTTGCCCTTCTCTGCAACTCTTCCAATTCTACTATATCCTTTGTAAAATGAGAGAGGACCAGCAAATACAGGAAAAAAAAAAAAAGTGCAGATGAGATTAATACAGTGACATAATAACATTTTCTATTTTGCTCTTTCTCATTTTGTTTCTCCTGAGTACTACTGAGTTGACATTTTCATAATCTCAAAAGCAATTTCCTGAATTGCAATGGTCAGTTAACACTCATCATTTAATATGTGTGGTTGGAAATAATTTTTTCATAGGTGCCTCACTTTACATTTAACTACACTGGATTTAATTTAGCAATTTATTATGCAGTTACTCAACTTCATAAGGCCCTTGTGTAGTGCTTTTTATTTTTTGCTATTATCAGCACACTTACCTTACTGTTCCTGCCCTTTTCTGATCATTTATATATGTGTTTTATTTATACATATTACATATTAAAATATGAAATGTAAGTATACCATACACTTACAATGTGTATAAATAGAGTATATATTTTACACACTTATACACGTATGTGTAAATATATATGAAATATATCAGAGTACTGCTGGTTAACCAGCACTTATTCATTGCAAGAATGGACTATTTACCTCAATTCTGTTTTCTATGTTATTCCCATTTTCTTCCTCCATGCAGGTATGTGCTGCTTAGACTGTAACTGTTTAATGTCCCTAATGGGCCTCAGTAAAACACCTGTTAAAAAAGCCTTCTGGAAGTCAGGGAAATGTGACAGCTATGTTAGTCTTACCCACCAAAGAAGCTGGATTTCAGGCAGTTCTGGCAATCCACCACCACTGTGATGTCTTCTCTTGCTTTGGAACCTACTCGTGCATTACATCTTTAATTATTAACTCACACCTACTCCTAATGGTATTGGGCACTACAAGAAATTAAACTACCCAAGGATGGGTGAACTCTGCATATTGTGATGATTTCACTGAATTCCTATCTGAAACCAAGGATGTAAAATTAATCACAGCACTTCTGCTAATAGCTGACTAAAGAAAGGAAGCTATTATGGGCACCAGTACCTTTCAGGGGCCCTTCTTCTAAGCCAAAAACCATCTAAGGCCATTTTACAATGCTACAGTCACAGAATAATCCAAATATTTTCATATTAATAGCGCTAGTAGACTATAGTCTAGGCAGGGAGAGCAGATGAAAAACAATTTCATACCATTGCAAAACTGCAAAGCTGAGCAAGCACCATTTTAAAAGATTTTAACTGACCTAAAGTTGACTTCAATGGGAGCTGTATTTAGCACTGCCAAAAAAAAGGGCAAATCTGTCCTTTTAGATAAACACATTTCTAATTTTAGAAATACTTCTGAAAATATTATATGTTTTGTATGTTCCTTTAAGACTACAAACAATCTAGCAATAAATTTCCTGAAACTAAGAAAGAATTCATAATTATATTACTTGCTAGGCTTGAACTCATACAAAATCAGAGGAAGAGAAAACCCAAGATACTTCTGTTTGAGACTCTGAACTACTCCATCAACACACATTGGTATTTCATACATCTCACAAAAACATGTTATTATTCTCGTTTCTTCAGCCTTGCCTGTTTAGCTGCTTACTGAGAGTCTTGGGACAGAGACAGCATCTACTCATACCCTTGCATATGTCTCAACTGAAAGCTTAGTCATCTGGCTTATTCTGCACTAGAATTGTCACACATAAAAATCAGCTAAAGCTGTACCGCAATTCTGAGGACAGCTCTTGTCAAGAAACTTTAAAGCAGTGCAAAAAAATTTCATCCTAAAATAAGCTCTCTGTAGTCTGTCAATACACACTATCAGCTAATGGTTTGGAAAAGTCTTATGCATAAGGGATGGTATAATGTACTAAAAATACTGTGTGCTATAGATCAGCACACAATGCTGTATATACAGATAATTGTGCCTATTTATCTAACCTCTAAAATTCCTATGAAAGTTGATTATTCAGACTGTTTTGTTAGCGAATTTCAATTTCATTTGACTTCTTTTTTGTTGCCATCTACGGATTTCACATTTGCCAATTATTTTATGCCTGTGCCATGTTTCTCAGTGGTGCATGTTAAGCACAAAAAACAAAGAACTAACCCCCAGAAACTGCAAGACCTCAAGATGTGCAGTACTCACACAAGCTTAAATATTGAGAAACCTTGCACCATGAAGCTCTATTTTTGTAGCATTACCAGTGCCCACTGACTGCATTATGATTTCTTGTGCTGGTAAATGGGCATACAGATCAGAACATGCCTCCTCTATCTTTGTTTTTTTCAATCTTCTCTCCAAACTGAGAACACACTGGACTACAGAAAAATCCTGAAATCTCCTGTCATAGGATGGAAAATTTAGGACAGCTGCAGCATTAATCTATTGATAGTTTATGGTACAAAAAATAGCGGAGTAGGTAGGAAGCAGAGCCATGCTTCCTAGATTACACATTGTAAGACTATTCTGATTACAGTTTTCTCATTGACCATCAATAAGCCTTTTCAAACTATTGGTATTTCTAAGGGGTGCCACATGCATTCACAATTTCCTGAAGAGGGGAAGAGCCTTGGAGGGGGCTCTCATGCTGCCACATTCAATAGATCCTGGAAACACAAATCCCTTGATCAGAGGCAGACCAGAGCCATGACTACAGCCCCTGCCTTCACCTTCCAAAGACCACCAGCTTCCTCCAGCTGCTGAATTAGAAAGACATCCTTTCAGGAGTGCTACAGACTGATCCTCAGCTCAAGCAGAATCTAACAAGGATTTTCACAGAGCCATGGCAATGGCCCAAGCTTCTCACAACATACTTAGTCACTTCTCCAGCCTCTGACTCTGGAGTCTAAGGTTTTCTCTCAGATATTCCTGGAGAACATTGATAGATGACTCAGATTATCAGCAAAACTATGTCCCTGCATAAATTTCTCAATTACATGGCAGTGATGCCAGTTGCTACTGGGACATAATCCCCAAGAAAATACATCAGGAATACTTTCAGCTTCTCTGTACTAGTCAGCACTGAAATAACCAGCTTTCTGAAATACCAATTTTTTTTTTTAACAGGCTTTCAAACCTGCAATATGTGCAACAGGCTGATGACAGTTGGCAATAGAATGCCCTTATTTTCCAGAAATGCTTTTATTCTGTGAAATCGTGTTTCAGTTTTGCTGAGACTCAAGCTCAGCTATGGAAATTTAGGTTGCCTTATAAAGTAGTATTTTCATACTAAAATATTACATCACCAGGTACCTACTGTGGTTTATTATGAGCAGCCGTGGGATGATACAGGAAAGGGCAGCTCTGCTGGTTTATCTAAAGAAAGAGTTCCCCTGCACACAGTCTCTGCATCCTTCTCTCTCCTCTGAGGATGCCAAATGGAACTAGTTATCCCAAGTCTATAGGAAAAAGAAATCAGGCAATCCCCTTTGCCTGCTAAACCTTAAACCATCCTGAACCAGGATGACTGACTGCCCTCCTAAAGATGCTTTTTCTGCCATCAGCCAGTTCTGCCATTAAAGTGTACAATTATGCTCAAATCCTGCTGTTAAAACATAACAAAGTAGTTAACATTTTGCACGTATAAGTACTTAATTTTCTTTGAAAAATCAGTCCAGAAAATTAAAACCAAAACATCCAAACACAAACAATCTACATTCCTGGGACTGCATGACTGAACAAAAGAAAACAAGGGCATTGCAAATTTATTGCTGTCTGTGCAGCTCTCAGTCTTTCTTGCTCATGTGTTCTTATACAGTCATTAAATATGTAATCAAAACTTTTATCTCCCCCATCTTTTGACTTATTTAGGGTACAGAATAAACATCTGAGGGAATAAAATTAGGTCTGCTCAAACAACTGTGAATTTAACATTGCTTGTTTTTAAATGTCAAATTAAACATTTAAATGCAATTTTTCAGAATGCAACAATAGCTGCTATGTCATACCTTTTTTTCTTAATCATACTCGTATTTTTTTCTTTTCCTTTTTTCAAAGCTGTTGCTATCCAAATAAAATTATAGGTTGTGTGACTGAATTATTTAAAAAGACAGGCAACTATACAATGATACAGTGTAATCCTGTGAATAAATACATGAATTCTCATCTTAAAACTGCTTAAATGTTAGTTACCATTATTTCTACTAGGAAGGAATTTCAGAAGCTCACTTCTTTGATAGCTATGCAAAACCATTTCCAATTTCCAGCCTACATTTATTCACAGTGAGCTTAAAAATCTTGCTCTTGTTACAACTGTGTTTTTTTATATCTTAAAATAACTATTTCTCCTCAATGTTTACCCCTTGAGATGGCAATAAATTTGTTCCTTTCTTTGGTATTATTTTTCTAGCCTGAGCAGGCCAATTTCTCATATTTTCCCCACTGCAAGATAAAAGCTCAGTCCCTCTATTCATTCTGTTGGTCCTTCTCTGCATTTGTTCTACTTGAAATTCAGATTTATACAGAGTATTCTGGGTGACAAATTACACATCTTCTAAGGCAGTCTTAATATTATCTAATCTCTACTGAAAATTCTTCATCTGATACAGACCAAAACATTTTTCAACTCCCAGTTCAGACAAGAGCTCCTGACTTTTTGTAGTATACTTATTTCTAATAGTCCAGTTCTCAAGATCTTCCTGCTTACTATTCTGAGACTGTTCCATTTTAATTATGTCTTACAACTATATGGCCACCCTAAGCATAATCACTACACTTCAAGCATCAAGGTCACGACTAAAGATGTAGAATAATCCTGGTCCAAAAGACTGACTTTGGGAGGCTTGCAGACCAACAATGAAGTGTAATGCTGGCTCCTCACTAGTCAGGCCTTTGGCCTTCTCATAGTCTGCACAGTAGTCTTCATCCTCTCTTTAATTGTCCTTACTCAGAATGAACTATTAATAAAACCAGTAAAAGGTCTATTTACAAATTTTTCCCTCAACTGCATGAACAGTATACATGAAATTAAAAACTTCCCTATATATCTGTGAGGACAAGTGTTCACTCAAATTTCTTCCTCCCCATACCCATATCATCTATCTTAGCTGACTGATCCAGAACTGAGGATAAACATGCATGAAGAAACCGTGAAGTCTGGGTTTAAATTTACTCACAATGATGCAGAGCAGAAGTAAATACATAGATGTTAAAAATTCATACTGGTATAAAACCAGTGCGTGTTAGACAAGGTCCATAATAAATCCTAAAAATAATTACAACAGTTGGTGTACTCCAACTATTGAAATAATTAGATTAAAAATAAGCCTTACCTGTCCTGTCATATGACTCATGACATGTATGTGCAATTTCAGCTCCGAGCTGCAAATAATGTCCAGCTTTATCATCTCTGGAACCATCTGCTCCAAGGGCAAACATTCCACCTGCAAAACAGGTCAGATGGCCCATCTTTCTTTCAAGATGCCCATTCTTCCACTCCCCAATGAAGGTCAGTCCTCCATTGGACTTTCTGATGAGATGCTTTTCTATGGCCTACAAAGAGATTAAGAGAACTTTCAAATGCTGTTTCACATTCAAGTGTTACTTATTAAAACATTCCTTTATCAAGTGAAGTCTGGTTTTCTAAACAAAAATAATTTTCTTTTTTCAAATTCACTTCTGAGCACTACAGGAATAGACAGCTATAAGAATATCATTTCAAAGCACAAAAAAAAATACCCTACTAAAAATGCTAATGACATCTAACATAGGAAAATCACAGCATAGACAACATTGTACTTTTACTTGAGAATTCAGCATTTATTTTACTGCTCAATTGTCTGTTAGCTCTGGGAAGTACCTATTTACTGCTCTGTGCACTCTGTGTGTACTCAGAAAACACATCCATGTTGGAAACTTTTGGTCAGCAACATATGCAAACCTGTACCCTCAGCAACAGGAATGTTCCAGCCACCATCTGGCTTCTCCATAACAGCTTTCTGATTGCACATTCTCAAATGATGGGTGTTAGAGCAGCTATCCACAAAAAACTTTATTATTTTATACATGAGGCAGCTGCTGCTTTCTTTTTGCACATTTGTAGCAATATATGTTGTTGCTTGTGACTTATAAATGGTATCTTTCTCTTAGAAGCTGGCCTAACTTCCCAAAGTTTGCAAACTAGATGGAACATTTGCTTTAAGCCTCTTTCAGAGAGGATCACAACCCCCACCAAGCTACTGCAGTATTTACTAGATGTCTAGCATTAGACTGTGAGAAAGTAATGAAAGAGAAGTGCTGGTCTGCACTCTTGTTGGGCTAATTCCTTCACCAATACCACTGACGGATCTGAGGTTTGTGCTAATGGCAGGATCCAAAGAGAAGAAGGCAGAAATAACTGACAGAGCAGAAACCAGTAAGTCTGACAGCTGCCAGGGTGGTTGTCTAACCATCATGCAAATTGGCATTGACGACTGTCTTCTGCTGCTAAGCAGCCTGATGTGGTTAACTGTACAAGCCTCATTTGGTCTGAAAGTACTAGTACTTTCTAGAAATATTGGATCTGCTGGAAACTGCCACTAGGAAGGATATTAAGATCTGGAACATTAATTCTGTTGATTCCATTATTTTAGACTGTGACAAAACTGACATTTTTTGACCATATGGTACAAAAAAGTTGTGTTTTGTTTGAAGGAAAGCCATTTTAACTATGAAGAGTAGGAAGGCACTAAGGCATATGGATTGTCTATTTCCTAGAGGAAAGCATTTTTTTCCAAATGTTAAGTGACATTTCCTTTCAAATTGTATCTTCCCATAATTTCATAACTGTTGAGGAGTAAATGGTTGCAGAAGCATTTCCAGTGGGACAAAATTGCTGTGGTTAACATCAGGAGAGCCAACAAAGGCCAAATTTATATACTTTTCCATGAGCTACTCCTCTGCTCCAGACTTGCTTTCATGGTTTGACTGAAGAGCATGTTCTAGATGCAACATGGTCCTCTTCTGAGCAGAAAAACACATCTTCTGAACTTGAAAAAACTTCCTAGTAGAAGGGGTAGTTTTTGAAATCTGAAAATCAATTTCTACCAGCTACTTATTAGGTTAGATCCTGAGAGTCACAATGGAATCATCTCAAGAACATAAATGCAGCTCTCTCAAAATACTTTATTGTTCAACCACCCGCTGCCTGCCAACTGGAAAAAAATGATAATTTTTACAGTAATTAACAAGGGACAGCTGGGCATTGTTGGGAGCACTGCCCACCAGATCAGAAAAGTTTGTGCAGGTTGGGATAGATGTGGTGTTTATATCCTGGGCTGGATGGCTGAGGCCACAGCACTCCAACAAAAACTGCAAAGCAATGACATCCAGCTGGACTACAAGGACTATACATGTACCAGAGTGGATGTATAAACCCCAGCTCCCAAAGAGAAGATTTAGCTCACATCAACTAAGAGATTAACTAATGGAAGGAGCTTCCTTAGTCTGTGAAATGCTGGAACAACAGGGGTAGTTGAGGTCACGTGGTTAATTCAGCCTAGGGAAGAGACTGAGGGGAGACCTCACTGCAGTCTTCAACATCCTCACAAGGGGCAGCGGAAGGAAAAGCAGTGATCCCTTCTCTCTCGAGACCAGTGTCAAGACCCATGAGAATTGCCTGAAGCTGCGTCATGGGGGGGTTTAAGCTGGATATCAGGAAAAGGTTCTTCACCCAGCAGATGGCTGGGCACTCAAACAGGCTCCACAGGGAAATGGTCACAGCACCAAACCTGACAGAGTTCAGGAATTGCTTTGACAACACTCTCAGGCACATGGTCTGACTCATGGGGTGTCTTGTGCAAGGCCAGGAACTGGACTCAATGATTCCTGAGTGTCCCTTGCTATTCAAGACATTCTGTGATTCTACGCAAAACCTGAATGTTCTCTGAAGTTCATGTGATTTTTGTGACTACAAAAAATAGCATTTTCCAAGCTGTATTGCAGCAGTACTTGCTATGTTGTGACAGTCAAGCACACTGCTGAATCCTTCTTTTAGCTACCTAATGTTGTGCAGTAAGAAAGAGCGAGGATCAAATTTAGGAGCCTAACAGATTAGACTACTCAAGGCAGCTGATCAAAGGAAGCTTACCTATCCTGCCAGATGATGTGTGAAGGAAAAGAAGACATTTGAAACCAGACTAGCTGGAAGGCCCATATGATGATGTTGAAATCAAAGTTAAGAGGCACATCCTCAATTTTTATCACCACAAAAAAATTCCCAACAGATTTCACAATTTCAGGTTTTTTCATAGCTGTGGATTTCCATACTAGGATGCAGCAATGAAGTGTCCTTTGCAGTGGAAGACTGCACCCATGTTATATACAGAAGGGTTATAGATACACAACTTGTTTGTACTCATGTTAGGAATATGCGGTGACCTGGATAAGGATTCATATGCCATGGATTGGAAACCATGACATCTGAAGAACAGATGCTGCATTTTTCTTTCCTGTGATAGCTACAAGGAATGAGATATCACTGTCTCCTGCAAGACTTAGGAGTGAGGTTATGTTGCCCACCTTCCACTCACCCTGCTGTAATAAGATAAGGGAGTGAAGTGTGGCTGGACAGAGACATTCTTTTAGACAGGTGGGTGCTGAGAACATTTCCAACTCTGTGCTGTGAGTGGGAGGAATGCATGCTACACCTTTCCTCTTCTGCTTGCATAAATGATGCAAAGAGCTTCTGCTCCACATTTTGAAAAACAAAGAACAAGAAGTGTTAGCTACAGAGGAAGACCTACATTATAGCCAAGAACAAAATAATGGTAAGGGAATGGCCTCTTAAAAATATTTTAAATAAAATTTGAATTTCAATTATGCAAAGCAAATCCTACTTAATGACTCTTTGCCTACGTCTTTCAATGTCAAGTAGGACCTGGGAAAGACACAAACCCTGAAACAGAGTATGTTCCACAGCACAAAAATCAGTACAATTCATGCAGACTCAAATGTATAGGGTGGATTTAGCTGAGAAAAAGGGGAAGGAACCCTCTGATGCTTGGACTGCAGGTCATATCACACATGAAGCAGGAGCAGCTCAGCTCTTCCTTCTTCCTATAAACAGTGTTTTCACCTGGTCACAAATTTGCCTTGCTCTGTCTGCATTCAGAGATGTGCCCATACAAAATGTTTGCAAGATGGTTTACAGTGAAGAGGATGAATAGGAGAGTTTATTTCCTCTAATTTTGAAGTGCTCACAGTTTAAGAATCAAGAGTAAAATATTTCAACAGTAACCACAATGGAAGCTAGATATCAACTGCTAAACATCTTTAAACCCACAGGACCCCATAAATTGTATTTTAACCTATTAAAAATATACAACTAATGTCTTGAACTATTAATGTAGAATTTAACAAACCCTGGAAAGCTGAGGAAGTTCAAAAGGACTGGGAAATAGCCAATGCTTTATCAGTAGTTTAAAAAGTTAATAAAACAATATAAAATTAACGATGTATATAAATATAAAATAAATGTTTTGATGGATAGGTGTATGCTGATACTAGGAATATTAGGGTTTTCAATAATTTCTTGGCATTTTACAAAATATTAGTCCTAAACAAATTCAAGACAGCACATATGGAGTGGATTAAAAACTGGCTTGCTAGAACAGTTCAAAGTAAAAAAAAATTTTAAAAAATGTGAAAAAATAAAAAAAGTCCTTATCCCAGGAAGATTCTGCATAGATACTTTATTCAACACTGGGCAGCATTTCTAACAATGATCTCCAAGAAAAATGCTAGGAAAAAAAAATTGCAGATCTGAGAAAATTTTATTGAACTACAGATAAAGATAAAGTCAGTTCTGTAAAATCACTGAGAGCAGGTGACAAAATGGGTTTTGCCTGAACAACGTGTTGCAATAGAGATAAGTGTAAGGTCAAACACTGAGGAATCGGGAATGTAAATCACAGTGGTAGGAAAGTGGTAAATCAAAAAGATTATAACCAGCTTCAGAATAAAACAACTGGAAAGTGGATGATGGTTTGAGGCAAAGGTTAAGAGTGCAAACAGAGCTCCTGGCTGAATGAAGAGGATAAAACCAAGAAGGGATCAGTTAGAAGAAGAATCACATTAGAAGAACCATTACATTGCTGTCTCCATACTTAAGACACTAGAAAATGCATAGAAAAAGCTTAAGAAATAATTAAAAATCTGTTTTATATTGTGACACCAAAAAAAAAAAAAAAAAAAAAAAAAAAAAAAAAAAGCATTTTTCCTTCCAGAGAGAATGTCTATTGTACATTTGATAGTAACCACCTATATGGTGCAGATAACTCTTTAAAGCAATGTAGAGAAGGAACAAGCCAAAGCAGCTGGAAGTCAAATATAATCAAATTCAGGTCAGGAATAAGACATATTACAGCTTCAAAGTAATTTTGTACTAGAACTTTCATGATATATCTTTTAAAATCTGAATTCTGAGAATTCCAAGACCAGGTGTTTTGCTTTAGAAGACCGACTGCACTAAAACTAAGCTTTAAAAACTTATATTGAAAGCAATGGGGAATGCACAGAGCCTGGAACACATCAGCACTGGGACAAGACTACACAGTCCCTGCTGCTGCTGGTACCACAGCTCATGTGACTCAAACCAGCTCAGTTACTCTCTATGCGCCTAAACTGTAGCAGAGGAACGGTGGAACAGCGGGCACCACTATGAGAGGCTGCTGAGAGATGATGGGGAAACTAGGAAATTAAGAGCTGGGCAGCAAAAAGCTCAGAAAGGCCCCCACCCCAAATCCCACAGAGCCATCCTGCAGTACTGCCCTGCTTGGGCAAGCACTTCTTGGTGTGTGACAGGGAGTAAGACCACAGCACAAAAGAACCATAGAAACAGGAATAGATATGAACTACATTTTTACAAGGTAAATATGGAATATAATATGTAAATACCTTAGAAAATAATGCAAAGAATAAAATAAATTGGGACTTCAGGTCCTAGAATGATGAATTCTCTACACCAGAAAAAAGTGGCTTGGTTGTTCTGCACACATCTCAAGGTTGCTAGATCTCCTTCTAATAAATTAGAGCTCGCGCTTTTACATTGTACCATTTGGGACAAGCTGATTATTTTTAGCACAATAATCTGCATCACATGTATTCCACAATAATACTTTTTAAACTACTCAGAGTGAAAGCTAGTATTATTCATCACTTGATTTCTTAAAACTTACATAATCAAAACAAGTCCTGTGGTTGGTGGTAGGTTTTCTGCCTAGGTGGTTTTTCAAAAATTTAATCTAATTTCCTTGAAATCATTAAAGATGGTTCCACTGTATTGGAAAACTCAATGAATTATAATCACCTCAATTGCATCGTCGTACATTTTCCTTGCCTCCGTGTCCGTCTTGTCTGACATAAGCCAGGCTTTCAATAAATATTCATAAAAACTGTCTCCCAGCCCGCCCACGGATGTGTGATCTGTAGAAGGGAAAGAGGGAAGAAAACAAAACAAAACAAAAAAAAAGGTTGAAGTTGTTATGTAATAGCACCTTAAATTTATTCAAAACATAAACTTATGTTTTTAAGGTCTACTGCTGTAGAATTATAAGCATTTTTAGCCTGTTTAGCAGGACAAAGCTGCACTGCACTCTTTCCCCTCCAAACTTACATCACAGGCATAGAACCTCCTGTATGTGTTACCTATTTGTCATTCTGCATAGGCTGTCCCTCATATAAAAAATGTCCTTTAACCTCTGTTTTCACTTCATTCCAAAGAACCTAGCTGTTTTGTTGCTAGGGTTTGGGGGGTTTAAGGTATATGTGAAAAAAACATGGAGAAAACCTCCTAAGACCTCTGTATCCAGGATGTAAAAGGGTTCATGGCTGGCTACAAACTGCCATCCATGAACTACAAAGAATCCAATCTTTCCAACAGATTTTTATTTCTAATGGGGTAGTTACTCAACAGACTAATGAATTCCTCAAACTAAATGTTCTTATTGAAATTATTTTAGTCAAAAGGGAAGCAAGCTGCCTTGGCAGTATACAACACAAGCCCTGCTCTGTTCCACTGTGCCTGAGCACCTATGCAGAGCTGTGCCATGTGCCACAGGGTAATGCTGCTTCACTGCTAGAATCCACCAACACATAAACTGAACCTCCTAACACACAGATTTCTCTTTTGCCCCATCCCCCACCCTTTTTGTTTTTTCCTCTTGTAGAGAGGTTGCCTTTCACAAATAGTTTCACTGCTCTTCTGTGCTGACAGACCACTTGAGCACTATCAATGTTTCTCTTCGGCTGAACTATCATACTTTCCCACAAAAAGGCTACTGATGGTCTGGCAGTCTTGGAGCTCCTGTTCCAACCAGGGTAAGCACTCACCCAGTACACCCTTCATTCAAAAGGCAGCACGCTGTGAGATTTAATAAGTGACTCCAACCAGAATACACATAACCTTCTCTTTCCTAATGTTACAGCCCTCAAAACAGTGGCACCAGAACAGTCTTAGACTCCTGAAGATAGGCAAGGGAAATGTTTAACACCAATATCGTCACAATGCCAGAAATCCACTGCCCTAAGCATGGCTGGTTGAGTCATGCAAGTACCCTTTCAGTAGGTGAAGAAAGGATATGACACTTGCTTTTACAAAATACCTCAAGAAAGTGGTATTATTCACAGTTTTTCTGGAATAAAGGTGCAAAAGAGAGGTTGAACTCTCCTTCTGTTCTTCTTTCTTCCAAGCACCACCCTACCACAGCATGTCTGCTTGTCTCTGAAGATGTGAGTAGGAGGTTAGAGCTGGTAGATGCTGCTATCCTAACTCTTCTAGCTGCCTCTTGGCTCCTCTGCTACTTAAAAATGGATTTCTAAACAAAGGAAGGAGCAAGTAGAGAGCCTGTAGCTTTCCCATTTAGTTTCAAGCTGTGAATTTGAAGCAAATTACTTCATGCCCTTCTCTTATACCTCAGAATCTCCTCGATTGCCTTTTCACACCCAGTTACTCAGTGATTATGAGTTTTCACAAGCTTTCTCACTCTGAGCTGCAAGAGGACATTCAGGTCATAAGTCACTTTCTTAACACAAACGCAAGGGCTAGAAATTATTCCTTCAATTTACAGTTACATTCTTAAGTAGACACAAGAAACAACGGTCTGTGGTTTTCAAGAAAAAAAAAACAAAAAATCCACAAACTATCCCAAGACTTCAAAGCTACAACTCATGCCAGCACTGCTCAGAGACTGACTTCACAAGAGACACTTTAAAACTACTTCTGTTAAGCTGCTGCCTCATCCGCAGCTGAGCTCTGTCAGTTGAATCAGGGGTGATCCTCAGCCAGATTTCCTTGACAGATGCACTCAGGTCCCAACAAGGACAGGCTGTTGAACCCTCAGCAGCATTCTTGTAGTAGCTCCAGCTGGGTTTGGGGCAGGAAAGAGCAGGAAGATGAGTGCAAAAGGTTTATTTCCTAAACAGAGAAATCCACATTCCAGGTGCCAAAAGTCAATTATCAGCAATATGTCCCATTCCATGTCTGCTTCTCCAGGCAGTCATTTGAGAACTGTCCTTCTCTTCTGTCAGCAGCTCTTCTCCTTCCCATTGCTTCTCATCTTAGACAAGGGTATAGGGAACACAGGCACCAGAAGCATCAGGGGACATAGGATTCAGAGCAATCCCCTAGACAACCCTTTCTTCATGCAGGGCTGCTCAAGCCTCTCAGATTCAGATCCTCCTCCAATTCAGCAAGTAGAGAAGCACATGGTAAAGCAGTAAAACCTTTCAAGGACCTTGCAACTCCCAGCAACAACATTTTCCTTGCTCCTTTTATGCACACCTCACTCCAGCTCTGACCACCCCAGAGTTTTCAAGGCTCCTCTCTCATTCAGTAGTGGGCTACTCCACTCCCCAGCTGATGCCTTTCAGAGCTGGACCAGAGGGAAGACCTATCAAAAAAGGCGAACAGATCCTGTTCCTTCTCTTCAGCAGCAAGAAAGGCACATATGAAATCTTTCTGGTGGGAACATATGATGGTATTTCAGGGGAGCTGGCTGCATCAAGATGCAGCTGTCTTTATGTCCCTGTCCCCTCCCCACCCACAAAAATAGACAGAAGAGGATGGAAATGAAAAGGACGCCAATGCAGCAGCTGAACTGAGGTTTGAATGCACTAAGCTTTCCAACTTCTGCAGTTGCATTAACTGCATCCTGGCAAGGTCTTCTTCAGGTTTTCTGCTAATGTCTGAAGGTGTTGCTAAAGCAGAATTTGCTGCATTTTATAAGAACTATAGGTAGAAATGACTTAAAACACAGTTTGTGACAGACTGCGGGGTCTTTGAAAATTTGCTCTCACCTAGAGTGGAAATGCTAAGGAAATATTTTCCAAGATTCCTTAGCAAATACATAACCGGTGAAAACTGTGGATTTGGGTCATCACATATCATTCTCTCCTAAAAACAAAGCTCCCTATCCAAACTTATCAGAAGGTCCATGGTGGTTATCACTTTCTCCTGCTATTTCAGCTATAGCTCAGATGGATTCAAAGATTTAAGTCAGCTCAACTCAGAATGTGCTGCTCAGAAGAATGTTTTTCACATAAAATTTATTGACGTTTTCACACTGGCCCTAACCTTTCATGTCAATCCAGAGTACTAAAAGGAAATAACTTGTGATTTGAATAACTAAACTTGCAACCCAGCATCTTGACACTGGGTACTCCTCAGTAAACAACTGTCAAGATAAGCATTAAGTACAAGCATTTTGAAAATTTTAAAATTGATTCATTCTTTCACATATTTGATCTATAAGAATCATTTAATTAGCTCTTTGTCATGTAAAGGTTTTTATTTTGAAAAAGTGTTTTACAGTGAAATCCTGAAGCAGAATTCATTCCAGATTAAGATAAATATAGCAAAAAGAACAGAAGTATGATAGCACAACAAATGTGGCTGAAGCCACATGTTCTGTTCAATGTATACATTTTTAGAACATTCAGTCCTTCAAATCAAGACAAATTTGGGTAATTTCTTCATTCGCATTTTTTCAAATGTAGGCCCAGATGACTGGGCAAACATAAAAGGATTCCAGTCAAGGATTGCTTCAGAATTCTTTTCAAACTGAAAGACACAGTAGCTGCAGTTGGAAAGAATACCTTCAACTTTTGCAACCAAAAGCAATTACAAGAAACCCTTGTTTTTTCTGGTTTGTCACACTTGAAAGCATATTGTGTGCAAACCTGTGCAGTTAGTCTGTAAGGATTCTTCTTGCCAAAAAGAGACAAATAAAACCTTAATAGAAAGACAATGGTATTTCAAGTTCATAGCAACATTTTTGCTCAGCTACTACAAAAGATTTACATCCTGTTAAATATTGGCATTTTTTTCTTAATAAACAGCACTCAACTGTAAACAAAAAACCCTCAGTGAAACCAATCAATCTCAGAGCAATACGTTAATACGTTTTTAACATATTGATAAAATATCTATAATTATTAACAGATTGTGTCTCAGCTAATATTCCAAAAACCAGATCTACCTCTTTCCTACAGACTGTGAGGGGGAACCTTCTTTTAAAACCTCACACCATCATTATCTAATATTCCTAAAGATATTTTTACTACGAAAGATCTTATTGGTATCAAGCAATCCACAAGCTCACTGCTGACATAGTCTCCCAAGACAAGAGGCAGGACAGCACTAAACCACAGCACCAGGCTGGAGGTCAGACAGTCTCACTGAAATGCCACTGGATCTCAGCCCAAGAGAGGAGGGAGGGTCTGCAGAGCTCTGATGATTTTTTCTCTCTAAATGAAACTGTTTCTTTACAAATCTGGGGAGACAAACTTTTTTTTCCACAAACAGCTCTTCAAGGCATGGGCAACAAGGTTCTCACTACTCAGTGACAGGTGAGGCACTGAGATGGATCTGGCTCTAATTTTTGGGGATGGTTGTAGATAACAGGGATAACAAGGATTCTCACTTGTGATACCCAGACCTACCTAATATCTGTAAATAACTTCCTCCACAGCAAGCCAATTTCCACATGACCAGCAGTGGTTCCCAAGAATACAGTTATGGCCACAGACTGCAAGTTACCAACGTGTGCCACTTCCTTTTGTTTACAGGAAAGTTTGGTTCCTGAGCAATAGCATGTTTCCCACAACTGACAGCCCCCTAAAGATAACATTAATAATGAAGCCTGCTCTAATGAAGGTCTACCTGCTCTCTAGAGCAAACTTAAGATGTGCAAATTATTTTTAAGCAGATGGCTTTAAGTAGTTAACAGCAGCTTAATGAGGCAAATTAAAAACAGTTCATGATTTGCTAAACCCTCTCTGCTTTGTGCCTTAATTGTTCAATTGCCATTTCTTGGCAAGGAGCAAGAGTAAAGAGAGAAGCCAGGCATTGTATTAAAGGCAGCACGTCACGCCTGAACCGATGCTGTAGTCCCAGCACCTGAGGGTGAGGTTTCCTGCTAGAGAGG